GTGGGGGTGGTGGTGGGGGTGGTGGGTGTGGTGGTGGGTGTGGTGGGTGTGGTGGTGGGTGTGGTGGTGGGTGTGGTGGCGGGTGTGGTGGTGGGTGTGGTGATGGGTGTGGTGGTGGGTGTGGTGGTGGTTGTGGTGGTGGGTGTGGTTGCGGTGGTGGGTGTGGTGGCGGTGGTGGGTATGGTGGGTGTGGTGGTGGGTCTGGATGACGATGATGATGACGGTGGTGATGATGATGATGATCATAATGATAATATTGATTATGATGGTTACGATGATGCTGCTGATGATCATGATGATGATGATGGTGGTGGTGGTGGGTTCCCTGGTGATGCTGATGATGATGATAATGATGACGATGATGCTGACGGTTGTGATGAAAATCATGATCATAATGATTCATATTGGTTATGATAATTACGATGATGCTGATGATGATGATGGTGATGATGACGATCATGATGATGATGATGATGACGATGATGATGATGATGATGAGGAGGAGGATGCTTATTGTGACGATGTTGATAGTAACTATGATGACGATGTATATTTATGCTTGCGCGAACCATGACACAGTGCACAAGGCTGCTGCGCATCGCATATTCACATCATAATGTTCATCATCATCATCATCGTCATCATCATTACCCTCATCACAGTCGCCATCCTCATCATCGTCATCATCATCATCAGCATCATCATCATAATCACCTTCATCATCTTCATCATCATCATCATCACCATCGCTATTCTCATTATCATCATCATCATCATCATCCTCATCATCACTGCCACCATCGTCATCATCTTTTCATCATCAACATCATCATCATCGCTGCCTTCATGGCTATCGGCATTGTCCACGGTTTGTTTTTGAACAGCAGGTTGTGGCCATGTGCTGAAACTGACTCTCTCCCTTCTGTCTCGCTCCTGAAGCAGTACTGCAATTGCCCCGCAGTCTTGCAGATGATAGCTTCAGTTATCTGTTTTCCAGCTTCCGCACACATAGCTCGGGAGCCCCTTGGGAACCGATCCATCTAGGCCGGTATATGCGAAACTTAAAGACTGTTCGACGCCGCCAACCCTTTCGGCTTTAGGGTTGCAGGCTTGAAAGCATTAGCAAGAAGCAGTGTACTTCACAGCTGTCAAGGGCCTCAACAGGTGGCGTCCTGCCGCAGATGGGATTCTCACTTGTATAATGCCTGAACCCTACATCCTAAACCCCTTCGAGGTCTCCTGGTTCCCACCTGCTGAGCCCTTTGATGCTGCAAAACATCTCAAGACTGCAGCCTGAAGACTAAGTATAGTGGAGGTTAGGGTTTAGGATTTAGCGTTCAGGACTTAGGGAATCATAGTGTAAATTCCCGGTTCGCACACTTTCTTTCAAGGCCGGAATATGAGGATCGCTGGTCCCTACTCTAGTCGTTATTGAGGGACGTGGTCTCCATGAAGTGTACATGAGTTAGAAATGGGAGTTTCCAAAAATTAGGGTACCTTATTTTGGGGTCCTTATAATAAGGGTCCTATTATTTAGGGTACTATATTAGGGTCCCCTATTTTCGGAAACTCCCAAATACCAAGCCGTGACTATAAGTCCCTTATACCTGAATACCCTCGTCAGCTTCGCCTGGTGAAGATAGAATTGGGCTCAGGGTTTCGGGTTTAGGGATGAGGGTTTCGGGTCTAGGCTGAAGATATAAGGTTTCGGGTTTAAGGTTGATATGCAGACCAACAACACCCACAGCCTCTTTACGGCTCCTCATCATGATTGCTTTCCCTTAGCCTCCCTCGACATGGCAGGGCTTTGCGGCTAAACCCTAAACCCTAAACCCTTAAACCCTAAACCCTAAACCCTAAACCCCTTAAACCCTAAACCCCTAAACCCCTAAACCCTAAACCCTAAACCCTAAACCGCGGCTACATGTCGGGGTTAAGGCTTGCTCAATGCATGACCGCAGGCCAGGATCTCAAATCTTGCGGGCTGGCAGTAGAAAAGAGTTTAGGGTTTAGGGTTTAGGGTTTAGGGTTTCGGGTTTAGGGTTTAGGGTTTAGGGTTGGGGATTTAGGGTTTAGGGTTTAGGGCCCGCAGAGCCCAACACGCCCTCGTTTACGAATAACCCTTCAGCCATTCTGTCAAGCTTTGTAAAGGTTCAGGGATATTCTGATTTAAGGAAGTGGCCTCTCTGGATGACTTGTGGTACACCTGACACTCCAAAATTTCAGCGTGCAAAGATGCCTTGTCAGGGTTTTCTATCAGAATTGACGGAAGAGTTCTTCCTTGATAATTTGCTGCGAAGCCATTCAAGCTTCGTCTTGTCTTCGTATGTCTTGGCATGTCTTGGTTTAAATGCTCACATGCAAGAACCGTTGTCTTGCATTGTTGCCCGGCGGCAAAGGCCACACACAGGATTCTGCGTGCAGATCAGGCAGGCTGTACACTCGCCCTGTGCCGCAAACTGGACCTGTGTGGTTTGGTTTAAGGTTTGCCTTTGATGGTGGGAGTAAACCCTAAACCCTAAACAATAATGTCCAGTCCTTGCAGCTCCGACATGGAACACAAGGCAAGCCCTCGGAATACACCATTCGGTGTGAGGACACAGACTCTGTAGTTACTGGAGTCACCGGAGAGCCTAAACACTGCCTAAGTACACCTTAAACCCTAGACCGCACCCTCAACCCTCTGCTCTACCTCGCGAAACCCCCAACCCCTAAACCCTAAACCCTAAACCCTAAACCCTAAACCCTAAACCCTAAACCGTATCAATCCTCGGATCACTGAGAAAACTTGATCGGCAAGTCGGTGAGTTTGTCCTCGGCCGTGCTGTTCAAGAGGCCCACCGCAAGCGCGGCATACTGAGCCAGTTCCGAGCCGGCCTCCTTGCAGACCTTCGGGTCAGCGGTTTTGTGGCTTTAGGGCTTCAGGGTTCAAGGTTAGGGGCTTTAACGTGTTGCTGTTATAAGGGTTCCTGTGCGGGGTTCCATTTAGGATGTCCTTCTGTGTTACGTGTTCTGCAAGGGTTCCCGTAAGAGTTCCTTTCGGAGATTGGGGTTTGGGATGTTAGGGCTTGGCATTTTGGGCTTTCAGTTTCCAGTCCAAGAGCTTTCGGGCTTTTGGGTTGCCGTTTGGCTTTTTGCGCTTTAAGTTCCCTTACGGGGTTTAAGCAGAATCCACTCCCTGCCTGGGCCAGCTCACACATCTTGT